GTTGAGCCCCCAAATCCCCTGAATTCATGAAAATAGACAGAAGCAATCTTTGCCAAGAAAGGGAAGTCAGAGAAGGGGAGGAGAAAGGAAGAAAAGCTTAGCCAAAGTAAGTAGAAGCCATTAGGGTTTCTTGAAAATTGGTGATTTCCGGCAGCTATAAATTGAGCCTTCCCCTACCCAACAAAGACAACTCACAACCTGCAGAGAGCAAGCTTTTCTCTCTATCTTGCAAAACTCAGACTCGTGCACTGTTCATCTTCTTCTCCAATTTGTTTTTCTGGCAGCTGCCAGAAGAACTCTGCCTTTCTTTTTCCTTTTTCCCTAGTCGAATTCCTCACAAAACACCTCATTCCTTACTTAAACACTTTCTTTTCTCATAAACCAAGCCTAATTTCTCTCTTAGTGCTAAACCCATGTTGATTTTGCTCCCATGCCACATGCCACTCATGCTGAGCTGAAAAGACTATCTGTAAGCATGCCAAAACTATCTGCAAGTTACCATTATTCTCGTTGGTGAAGATAACCAAAATACTTCCTAAGGCTCTACTGCCTTTTCGAGGTATTTTGGGGCTTAATTTTCGAACTCAGGCTCAAGGGGCAATTTCTTCCATTTTGCCCTTTACGGCAGTCAGGCCCGTAGTAGCTGCCGGAAGAAAAAAGCCCCTACAGACATATGTTTGGTGCTTTGTCGGACTAAAAAATAATTATTTTAATATTTAAATTTAATTAGGAATTTTGACCTAAAAATAAATTTAAAAAAAATAAAATTGTGATATTTTTTGTCTAGCGTTTTCTTCTTCTTTTCTTTCTCTCGTTCTTTAAGTTAGGAAGCTGATTTTTCCATTCCCCTTTTCTCCAATTAAACTCCCTTTTGTTTTTTAATACTTTTTAATCAAATTGTTCTTTTTTGTTTTTTCACTTTTATATTATTCCTTTTTCTTTATAATTAATTTTCCAATTTGCACTATATTTTCAATTTTTTTTCCCTTTAATCGAGTAAGAAATAATTAACATGTATATTTGTCTAGGGAAAATTACATGGTCCACTTACAAAAACTCATGCCCCACGAATAAACCTTGCAGCCATTTTTTGTTTTGTTTTTTTTTTTTTAAGGAAACAAATTTTATATGGCCACAAAGAAACATAAATGCATCTAACTACACATTTTTACATTTTCTTTTTCCATATTCGTCTCGCTCTTCCCCCTCTCTTCTCCGTTATAACCATTCGGAAAACAGATATTGAATGAAGAAATTTTTTTTATGAACTTGTGAACATGAATCAGAAAATGAAATTGAGTTTGAGACTATGAGTTTCAAATTCACATTAATGGAGTTCTCTTTGTTTCATATGAGATCATTTCAAACCTTCATTTTGTTTGGGTACCTTCTCAGAAAATACAAACAGCCAGGGATTGAAGAGAAAGAAAAAATAAAATAATGAAAAATAATTCTTCTCATATAAATATTTCAGCATTCCAAGTCCGTAGGGGAGTCCAAAAGCCTAGGTTTTGTTATGTTACAGTGATGAGGGTGAAATCCAAAAGACTGGGTTTTGTTCACTCTCATTGATTGAGTATCCATATCAAAATATTAATATAGGGTGATGGTAGAATAGGAAAGAGAAAGAACAAAAAAGAACAAAATTGATTGAAAAGTATTAAAAAGCAAAAGGGAGTAAGAAAATTAGCTCCCTTTATTTATTCCTCTCTCTCTCTCTCTCTCTCTCTCTCTCCATTCTCGTTTTCTTCTTTTCTTTTCTTCCTCTTTTCTTTCCTTCTTTCTTCTCTCTATTATGTTATGGTGCTTGGTTATTGGTGGTGATGATGGTCGATTGACTGATTAGGTTGTGATGATGGTCTGATTAGGTCTGTGGTGGTGGGGTTTTAATTCAAGCCAAGGATTTGACTCCAGTCGGACTCACGTGTTCAAAATAGCACGTTCACTATTTTGCGAATCACATTTCGGCCTCATTGTATTAGTATTAGACAAGCGAGTCTGATGTTTTTCTCACTGTTGAATTATACAATCTCATTTAAGTTAATCCCCTTCCTTCCCAAACTTAAAATTCAATCATTATTTAACCCAATCCCGTTCAACAAGGCATACCAAACATGTCATAATTCATTACTCTCCATTCACTTCGAAGGAAAAAAAAAATACAAATTTATAAATAAACCCAATCCTAGACATGTATTTATAGAAAAACCCAAGCACTATTTAAATATAGAAACACACTCAAAATTAACCCCAAAGTCAACTTTTTGGGTGTGTTTATAAATGAATTTTGAGTGTGTGTAATGATGGGTTTTTGGTGTGTTTATATGTTTAAATAGTGCTTGAGTTTTTTTATAATTTAAGCCCTTATTTTTGGTGTTTTAGTGAAACTCCAAAAAAAAAATACATATCTAGAAACAAAAAAACAATGCGTTGACGTTTGTGGTATTTGAAGACCCCTTTCAAACTAGGTCTAGTCTCTCTTAGGTTGTCGCCATTTTGACTATTAAGTCTCAGATTCACCTTACACGTGTAGGGTACCTTTCTCAATCTTATCTCGATGTTGGGCCCCAACTGTGCCCCCCCAACACCTCAAATCTAAAACTTAATCTACACCCTCCTATGATAACCCAACGAACTACTACACCCTAGATTAAAAGGCGACCAATATCAAAGCCAAAGTCAAAAAAAGAAACGATATGACGTAAAAAGTATCATTATAGTCAAAACCCTCTTGAAAACGTTAAAGAAAACGTGTCGTACGAGGCAAGAGATTGAAAACGTGAAGGCCCGCTTTTTCATTCTTATACGACATGACTTTTTTCTGGTCCAGCCAGGCTTGTCATCCAACCATCCCTTCCCTAGTCTTTTTTTTTTTTTGGTCGGAAGTCCCTTCCCTAGTCTATATTCTGCTCAACTGTTATGAGAGACGTAGAGTGCATTTAACAATTGGCAAAAACAAAAAGAAACGAAAATTGTCCATTCACATTACCATCAATCTACCCAAATAGAACATCAAATTCAAATGGTTTCTGAATTTTTTTTCTGCAACAATCTTTTGATCTACATTCATTGAACTGCAAACCCAGCTAGTCTTGTGCTGATCAATCGTTGGAGTCCACTCGACAATTTCGTTTTATGATCGAAACCGTTTATTTTTTCAGTCAATATTTCAAGCATCACCCTGAAAAAAATTTAGCCAAATCGAAAATCATTTCATCATTTGATTATCATTGTGAACACACGTTTATAGAAAACGGTTATGTTCTCACATATTTAGTCCTTTACAGCATTAGGTTGAGCAAAATACCACAAAACAAAGTTATGAACCTGCATTTGCTCAACCAGATTACATGCAGGTACATTCCAACCATTGAAGTAAATTCCTCTGATAAATCAACACTCGATCCACCGTTAACCCCATATTGCTTCCGTGAATCATAAATGGGAGCTGTTTTATAACATTAAGAGATGGGGCAGTCTCTGTACAGATTCTGGTTAGTGGTGAAAAAAAAAAGGAAAAAAAGAAGAAATACAACAGAAACTACTTTGGAAATAAACCTAAAGATAGCCATAAAAACTACATTACAACATAAAATTATGGGGAGATAACGTTGCAAACACCTGCCGCAGTGAAAGTTCTATAGAAACCCCTGTTGATCTGCCAAATCACAGAGAAAGGTTCCTCTTTGTAGCTTCCATTTTTAATAAAAGATCTTTAATATCTGCTTCCATCCTCATCTTCATATTTGAGTACTCACGATGCGCTCGATCTAGAGCCTGTAGTTCTTCAAGTTTCTTGTTACGCATTTCCTCGGCCTCAACCAAACGCAACTTTGCTATTCTACTCCTATATTCTTCTTCAATTTTTTCATTCTTCGCAATCGCTATGCGTTTCAGCCCCTCAGCTTCTCTTCTTGCATCATCTGCTCGTGTTTGGAACATTTTAGCCTCGGCCTGCTTGATTCTCACAATGCTCTCCAACTCATCGAAGAGAGGTTCTTTCGGGGCAATTGTGTGCAACTCCGTCTCTATAATGCGTTTATCATGCTGGTCATAGTTAAAGCTAGGAAGAATGCTAGCTGCAGTTTCCAACTGAGGTGCCTTTTCTGTATATACAGACTTCAGCCATGCGGGTTCCTGGCTTGGCCCAGCAATCCCATTGCTCACTTTACTTTGATCCTTCCCAGATAAAACGGGTGTTTTGCCCAGCTTCGAATTGTCAGCATCTGAAACCACAGTTAACGACTTAATTAGCAATCTTATGGTTTCCATTTTCAACTAACTAAAAACAGAATTACAACAACAAAATGGCACAGCTTTCAGATTCAATAAAGCCAAGAGTTGCTGCTACGACATTCTGTACTCGTCCTATATCCTTAGTGATACTGGTACTACTTTTTTCCCTCTTTCCCCTAACATTCTCCCATGAGCATAAAAAAGTTCAGAATCATTGAAATATACATTTTTAGTCAAGCCCCCAAAGAATACTAAGAAACACACAAGCTGCAAGACACATAATGTATGTAACACATCTTTTTATATAAAAAATAAAAAAATGTATGTAACACAAGGACCCAAAAAACAATCATGCAAGCAACACAGAAAACAAAGTTACAGATCATAGATCCAAAATGACAAATTTGAAATTTGCAACTATGGTTTTTGTAGCTCCTCAATGATTTTGCCTGCATTAAAAACCATTAGCTCTAATGGTTAAAGCAGAAAGAACAAAACTTCCCCGAAATATGTGCATTTTCCAGCTTCAATACATAAACAAAAGGCAAAAAAATTGTTCGATATATCAAAGGGTTTCCATATATCTCAAAACAAGGAAAACAACCGAAAACAATTCACTATTGACATCAATTCGCAAATATCCCCTAAAATCTCCATGTAACATCCGTATCTTGTAGCATGATATGCCAAAGCCACTTTCCAGATGGAAATTCCAAAATATTAGAGGAAAGTCATCTTAGAAACTATGCATAGTGCTACATGATTGGTCTTTTATACTTCAAGAGAACCAAACAATATATGACAAATTGAAAATATATTTTAGCCAAAACTTTTTTTACAGACAAAAGGCATGATTTCGAAACTAATAATTATGATCAAGTCTACAGATTATGACCCCAAAAGATTGGAAGGACAAAACAATAAATCCTTTCTGATAAAACATATAACTTACCCACAAGGAAAGCCATGATATAACTGTAAACATCTGGAAGGTCAGACTTATGTGCCAATCTTGCCAGGGATTGATCAGCAATTTCATAAAGTCGTCTCCCTCTCATGTCCTTGCTGACAACAAAAATTCTCTTGACATATTCAAGTTCCCTAGCAAGATTTTCAATTGTCCAATCCTTTGCGAAATTCTGAAAAACCTCCTTCACAAAGCCAAACATCTCAGAGGGATGATCACAGGCAACACAATGGAACTGCATCTCAGTAGTCCCTTGAGATCCAGTAGCACTGCGTCCATTTCTAATATAAGATTCCCGCAATGCACAATCCGCATGGCACCAATGGAGACAAACATCACACCCAATCCAACTACATGTATTTGAGGCCATATCAAATTTTGAGCACACAAGACACATACAAGCACTGCAAAAACCATTCTTTTGTGAGCAAACCTTGCAATCACATTCATCCACGGGCACAGGACTCCGACAAGAAGGATTTCTGCATCTTGAGTTCAGAAAAATCTCAGCCAAATCAGAAGATGACACATCACTCTCTTGCTGGAGGAAATCTGGTAGACCAGTCTTTAGTGCAACCAAGATTTCTAGTTGCGCACGATGGGCTTTTAGTAGCGTCTCCATGGTTATGTCAGACCTGCTTTGCAGTGCCTTCTGAAATGCAACCAGTTGCATGCGCTTATCCATATTTAACATAATCTCACGAATGGTCTCCTTCATACATGCTGCAGATTGTCCTGTCATTTCATGAAACTTTCTGGCCATTACATGTATTGGATCAGAGACAATCCTGGCAATGATTGTCTCGACAAAATCAGCCCCACCAATGAGAAACTGTTCTTGTTCCTTCTGGCTGCTAGTTCTATATAAACTACCACTACTTTTCTCTCTCATTAGTCGTTTCCTGTCAAAACTATAATTTGATCCCATTTCATGAGATCCAACGCTATGCGAAGGTGATCTAACATCTTCCTGGTGCCTTGATTGTCCACCTGTCAACTGCTTATGGAAGCTCAGCTGCCTTTCCAATCCATTTGCCATTTTAGAGCTTCCTTCAGGATGTCTAAGATGTTGTTGCCCTTGGATGGATTGACCATTTTGAACGCCTTGTGATGATTGAGACTGTTGTTGATGAGACCCATTTCCATTCATCAAGAGTCTTTGATACAAAGGAACTTCTTTACTCTTAGCCTCATTCTGAGACAGTGCCTGCCAAGGAACTTCTTTACCCTTAGCCTCATTCTGAGCCAGTGCCTGCCAATCAATCCCCTGAAAAAGGGGGCGACTTTTAACCGATTGTTCAAAGTCCATCGAGTTCTGGGTTAGCGAACAACTAGGGTTGTGATAAAATGACTGAGAACCTGAAAAAGACACTGACTGAGTAAATCCATCCGAGTTAGTCCGAAAAGTGCTTAAAGACTGAACACTCCTTGCTTGATCAGGAGAACCAGGAGCTGCCCCAATAGGTAATAAAACATTAGGCAAGCTAAGCGAAAGATCAAGTGGCTCAAGTGCCAGCTTCTCATCCTTCATACTAACACCAGAGTGATCAGCTTTCTCCCGTCTCCTAACAGGAGAGGTTGAAAATAACTCGAAACCCCTAGTGCTTGGTCCTTCCATATCATTGTCCATGCAAGTTAGGAGTTCTCTGGATTCTCTGGCATTCCACCCACCATCTTCTGCTGAATCCACCACATGGGCCGGTGCCACAGCCACGCTTTTCCCTTTGTCCTTAAAATTCTGACTCAGACCCACACTCGCATCGACCATATCCAGCTTAACCACTTCATTCTCCTCCTCCTCCTCCTCCTCTGTTACTTCCTTATCCGACTCGGTGATTTCATCATCATCATCATCATCATCCTCAGCCTTCACTTCAAGGTCTATTCCCTTGTCTTGCTTTGGTCCCTCTTCCAATTCCATCGACCTCTCCACAACCACGCCCTTGCTCACTTCCTCCTTGCACTCATTACCTTCCCTGAAACTCTCTTTTTCACCATCCCTATCTTCATGACCTTCCATATTCCGAGCTTCATCAATCATATCGTTCTCACTATTTGGTAACCCCTCATCTTTCTTTTCCTCATCTTTCCTTTCACACACATTCTCTTTACTCACATCTTTCGCCTCTTCTTCATCCAAAGACTCGCCTTTATCCTCCCTATTCTCTTCCTCATCCAAAGACTCACCTTTCTCCTCCCTCACCTCGTCTTCATCGAAAGGCTCACCTTTCTCCTCAACCTTATTGGTATCCGTATCGGACCCAGTTCGATCCTGGGCTTCTTCCATTTCAGCTCCACCTTCAGGACCCAATTGGGCTTCACCTTCACCTTCACCTTCACCTCCTTCAGCTCCAGCTCCAGCTTGAGCTTCAGCTTCAGGCTCAAGCTCACCTTCCTCCATTTCACTACTAGCCCTACTCCCACTCTCAACCTGAACCTCCTCCGTCTCTCTCTTCCTCACCTCAACACTCTTCGACTGCTCACTCCCCACCGAATCCTTGGACCAAGTCGGTGACTTCGACTTCGACTCCGATTTCGACCCCTTTCCATCCCTAAATCTCCTCACCGGAGACCTAACCCTAGACTGTTCGCTCCCCGAATCTCTCGAATTCGACCACGTCGGCGACCTCACATCCCTCAACCCCTTCCCTCCTCTCTCCTCAAACTCCTTCCCAAACCTCCGCCACGACAACGCTCCGCTTCCTTCGCGCCTCGGCCGGTCCCGCTCCGATCGAAACCCTTTCGGAAACTCCGCCGGCGACCGCCTGGACACGGAGAAGCTCTCCGACCTGTGCATCGAGCTACGATCGTACCCTCCGCCATCTCTATTATACCGATCGAGCCCTTTTCTCCGGTCGAACCCGTCAAACTCTTGCTCCGGCCTCTTCCGGGCGGTCCTGGACCCGCCGCCGGCGCCGGCCGAGTCCCGATCATCGTAGGAGCGAACCGGCCCCAGAGAAGACGCCGACGAGGAGGAAGAGAGCAAACCCTTGCGTACAGTGTCTGGTTTGTAGTAGAAGCTTCTGTGCGAGGTAGAAGAGGAGGTCCGGCTGGGGTTCGGGTTGGGGTTCGGATTCGGATCCTTTCCATACGAATCGAGATCGTCGCTGGATCTCAGTCTCTTCATTTCTCCCCCAAATTAAAGAAACAGAAAAACAAATCTAGAAAAAAAATAAATAAAGAGCTAGAATATGTTACATGAGCTAAAGGGGCGTGGAATTTTGCCCCGAGGACATGTCGAATTTACGGGTATTGCCACGGGAGCTGTTCGAAAGTGAGCTAGGGTGTTGCAGAGAGACCGGTGGAGGAAGGTAAGGGAAAGAAGGGAGGGGTAAAATTGGGAAAATGGTGGTGGTGGTGTTGGTGTTTCAGTTTCGGTGTGTTGGATTCAAAGTTTGGTAATGTTCGAGTCAACGCAGTTTTAACTACTGAAGAGAGAGAGAGAGAGAGAGAGAGAGAGTTGGATACGCAAAGTGCGTGGAAACGCATTCAAGTGTGAGTCGTTTTGTTGGCAGCGCAAGGGGGGAGGTGTACTTTTGTTTGAATGCACAAAGTAGAAAGCTGCGTACTGCACCAGGCGCACGTTAGTTGTTGGTGATCTTCATTAAAAACTAGGGCACATTGGTACATAGTAATAACACTTTTATTAATAGCAGACGTAGTCAGATTAGTTGGTCAGATTAATCAGTCGGTGAACTTGTATACAAGTTTGAATTTTCCTAATTTAAACTAGAGTTTGCATTATAAAATAAAAGTTTTATTACTAAATTAAAAATCAACATTAAAACTTTTCCTCCACGCACATCAATAAATGTTGAAGTTGCAATATTTTTTTTTAGTACAAACAATAGTATAAATTAAAGAAAATGAGGATTTTCAACACACACAACTAAGATATCATGGTGGTGCGCAAGGTCTAAAATATCTATGATTTTAAAAATATCGGTGGTTCAAAAATATGAAAATCTCAATGGAAATAATGGGAAATTATCGATATTGATAAATTAAATAAAAACCATGGAAAGTGTAAGAAAAATTGATTTCTCAAAACTCCTTTTCATTGATTTCTCATTCAAAGATTGATGATTTTATACCAAAAATAAATAAATTCTCCAAATGAAAAAGTTGGCATTTGAGATTAGATTGCATGTACTTCATTGAGGTTAATGTTGTCATTTGCATAAGTTTTTTTTCAATGAAAATCGTAAATTTTTGGACAAATAATCAACAACAAATGGGTTTTGTGAAAACAAACTGAAACCTCAGTGGATGTTTATGTCATTTTTGGGACCAGAGGGGGTTTTGTGAAAACAGAAGAAACATCAAAGGGTGTCAGTGCAAATAACTCTTTAAATTTTTCATTGTCTTCATCATCTAGATATTATCGATATTTTAGTCCTTAGTAGTGTGAACATGAGACCTTTGATCTACAAGTCAAAACTCTTTTTCATTAAACAGATCCCATGGTAATAAAATATTCATATCAATGTACTATAAATTTGGTAAAGTAAGCGTATTAATTAGATCAACACTATTTTGAAGCAATGATTGAAATATCGGCTGATACACTAATATATCTGCCGATATATCGGTATTTTCAACTGTCGACACCGATACTGGAGGGTAAGGCCATATTTTCTCCTGTATCGACAATATATCCCCGATAAGTGCGATATTCCCGATATTTCCCAATACCCATAATAGAACCCAAAAAAAATTCAGAAGTTTTGAAGGCAATTGAAGCAAATTGAAACCCAAAAATAGTTAATCATTGTCCAAAACCCTATAATTTATTAATATGAAGAATCCATGCACAGTCTACTGCCCACATACCTCCAATCCATTTGAAGATGGAACGACGATCAGTTTTGGATATATGAGCATAGGAACTAGACCTAATACTAACTCAAATGAATCTTATGATGGTTATGGTTATGTCATGTCTGATTATAGTAGAACTAGTTACGGAGCTCGAGATGATAAAAAAGATTATGGACATACTAGTTAGTTAATCCTAACTATCCCATATATGGGAGGACAATAGGGAGCTCAAGAGAGACCTATGTGCATCATGTTCAAACATAGCTTACAAACTATTCGGGTTACATGACTTGGTATGACTATTGTATGAATCTATATGATTGTTCCTCATTGTTTGAACCTCATATGAGCTCTTCATTTATGTAGATGGACAATTATCTAAATTGTAATCCAATGTTTAAACAAACTATGGATTTATGCATGGTTTATTCATTCTAATTAACATTTTATTTTCAAACTTTTTATTAACGCGCATTACATACCACTTATATTTCATCATATGTATATCTTATTATTAGTAAATTTTGAGTTTTATTTGTTCAATACATTCATTGATAATGTACATAATATCTATGTAAGTTTTACACCAAAATTATTTGTTTCAATACCTATATCTGTCATTTTTGTTCATTTTTTTCCGATACCTAAAACGATAACGATATATCCTTCGAAATATCCGTAAATTGGAGGCCTGATATTATTTGCATGGCCAATATTTTAATCCTTGCTTTGAAGAAAAATAATTTGTTCGGTTTAATCTCAATAATTTGTTAAGAATATCAAAAATACTATGAATGTTGAATACTACAAGATCATTAAGTTTCGATTTATTTATATTTATATTTATTTTATTTTATTTTGTGAAACAGTGGCAATTCAATTGAAGAAACAGGGCACAAACCCAAATTACAACATTAAGAACACAGCCCTGGAAGGAGGTTCTTGCAATATATATTGTAACAACAACACCAACTAAGCTCAAGTATTACAAGATAGTTAGAAAACAAATATACAACTTTAAACCCAGCTAACAAGGAGTTACAGATGATGAGGATCTTATTTCTGCAGCAACCAGTGCTTAAGAGAGATCAAGACAGAGAACAAACTCTCAAACTTCATGGGATAGGAAATACCCCAAGAGTGGAGGGCATTACCGCTCAACTTCCACCAGGATATTCCAAAGAATATCATAGCATCTCCTAATCTCCTTTAATCCCCAAGCACAATAAAAGTAGATCCACCAAAATCAGCAGCCCCACCTCCAAAACAGAGAGATTGACACTAGATCTACTACACAAGTAGCAGATCTAGCAAGATCAGCCAAAAACAACCCCAAAAGACTGGGAAACCCTCAAGAAAAGAAAGAAGAAACAAACCCTTGCAACAACAAGGAGTAGACAAAACCCAACAGAAGTTGGGAGGGAAAACCTCTCCACAACATAACGAGGGGAAGAGAGGCCCGAATTATTAACTGAAGGGGGTGGATCCCCGGGAACCAAAGAGAAATGCATATCTGTGTTGGTTTTGGGTTAGGTGGAGAAGAAGAGTCGAGAAGAAACAAGAGCGGTGTTCCTTAAGTTTCGGTTTGTTTTGTAGTGCGACAAATATTTTGAATAAAAAATAACCTACGTATGATGTGACTTACTTTAGATGCTTGAGATGGGGACACTATAACATAATGGCCTAAAGTCACATCAACTTGTGACGAATATGGCAAAAGAACGACCTTATTTTTGAAGGATGGGTCATTTCCTTTTTAATAATTCACCTATTCATTTCACAAATCATAGATTCACAAACACATAGCAGAAAATTTTCGTCATTGTTGGTACCATTCTTCAATCACATTCAAAACACTGCTAATCAGGGGCGGAGCTAGAATTATAAAGTTGGGGGGGCCGAAATAGAAAATATAAGTATATAAAATACTTAAATATTCAATATACTTACATGTTCAGAGCTAAATATTTATAATTAAGTCATATCTAATTTGTTTTAGAGGACATTTTAACTTAAATTCTAAGTTGTTTATTACAAATTCTATATATTCTATATATAATATAATAGAAGAGTGGTAAAATATGGGGGGGCCAGGGCCACTCCAGGTCTAGGAGTGGCTCCGCCACTGCTGCTAATAATAGTAATATATAAAGTAAATATGAGATTTCGAAATTATATTTACTTGTCAGGAATGAGTAGTTGAATACTATTCCAATTATTGCTTCTCGTGTATCTGCTAACTGTGTATCGGTTAACACATGGGTAGTTTAATGATTTCAATTCGTGGTATCCCTTGCATTTACTAACACATAAAAAAATTAAAGCACATTTGTAATCTTTTAACGTTAAAATCTGTAATCAAGTACCTTTTTTTATATTAATTATTTACGTCACATCAAACAAAAGAAATTAATCTGTAATGAAAAATTGTTTTAAAAATGATTCTGTAGACTCGTAATGTCAACATGCAACAGGGTTGTATGTTATTTTGTATTAGCTGAAATAGTTGAAGGCGGCTTACGCCATGTTTAATATTCTTGTATGCACCTACGTAAAACTTAAAAAACCCAAAAACAAACAAGAGCCGTTCCTTTTTTTAAGCAATCAAATTGTTTTATTGATTGGAATAAACCGTTATTTATTTGATTCGATGGCCGAAAATAAAGGAGAGCCGAATCACTATAAAACTTTGGGAAGAGATACAGAGAGAGACGTCAGGAGCCCATTAAACTGTTCAAATCACAGCCCAAGACCCTAACAAAGCGCCAAACCATTTGATCCCTTTTCCTTTTCCTCTCTAGGTTTAAATCCATTTTCTTTAACCAATAAAAGTTGGGTTGAACGTCCTTCTAATTCCGGTGTTTTGTTTGGATTTTTAGTCTAGTTAATATGAGCACATAACATACATTAGAGGCTGTCACATCGAAGTCGATTAACGTTTAATTAGGCAAAATTAAGAAATTTCCAGTGTAACAATACCTTCATTTGGTGTTTCCAATGCACTCGTGTTATAATATGTGTGTTTGTTTATTAATGTAATGCCATAAAATTGACATGTTGAGATTTTTTATGCGATCGTTACACAATTACGTGTTGTTACCAATGTGGCTCATTATAAAACGCATTCTCGTTCTATTTCTCAATAAAACGCAAGAAACAAATCGTCCAAATACAAAACACAAAAGGCCAAAGTAACAATTTGACAAAGCATATCGACCAAAATGGTATTTCGGCCCTTAAAACTGGGTGGAAACCACACATCATACACCAGCTCCTGTTCAAAGTCGTTGGGTTCCAAAAACAACCAATAGTCAAGCGTCCGAAAAGTCGTTGGGTACCGTATGGGTACCACTTGCTTTTACGGTTTTCAGAATGAAAAGAGTTGAGAAACTAGACAAAAGCAGGCCTATAAACACTTTAATCTGGTCATCAACAGTATATAGAAAGTGACTTCTTCGCCTGTGGTAAGTTTTTATTGATTCAAATCAACAAAGAGAAAAGCAAAAGCTTGTCAAATGCTTTCTTTCTTGACAAGGCTCTAAAGATTGTGCCTTGCAGTAGGGAACTTAATCAAAGTCCAATAACTGGAGAAAACTTTTGTACGCATCAGCTACCACATACGTGAGAAAAAATTATATATCACGAGATAACACTATTTTACTATCTCCAACTAATCATGTTCCGCAACATGTGATAACTTTTTCACTGACAGCGTGATTAGTTGGGG